GAACCAGTCCGACGAATCTTTTCAGTTTCGCAAAGCGAAAACACGGGCCGTCCAATAAGATTTGAGCATTACATAGCATGTCCAGAGCAACTGGTGTTACCCAAAAGGTCGACGAGGTGGCGCTAAATGCTCAGAAGACTGTATTGAGCACGAGCGTAAAAACACAGAAGTAGAGGACTTCCAACCAACATACAAAGAATATGAATGTCGAGATGTTGTTGTCGTTGGTGTCTGAACATAGAGATATATTTATATTTATATTCATACAATATATTTTCTGTATGTATCATGTATTTTTATGTATGTATTTTCTGTCTCGTGGTATTTTTATAACAATAAAGGATGTTTATGACAAATGACAAGCAGGTAGCGTTTAGTCCATTATAACATACAAAAAGTGCATGTCTGCCTATTATAGAAGCAAAATCCATTTTAGATCACAAGTTATTACAAGCACTCGATGATGGTTTAAAGGGGGGTTTGAGCAAAAACATTAATTACATACATTTTGAAATGCAGCTTGATGCTAATTGTACCTCTAATTATATTTTCTTGTAATCATTATGGATAGTTTGTGTTTCTGATGAAGAACCAAAAGTTATTTATCTTAATTTAAAGGTGGGGTAAGCGATTTCTGGTAGCCAATTTTGACATTTGAAATCACCAAAACATACTGGAAAAGCTGATCCGATATTTACACGGGTCCTACTTCTTGCCTTAAGCCTCTTTTGTTTTTTATCCGCCATCTCTATCTTTCTTTCTAATGTCCGTCCTGTGCACTGAACACTCTCTCCTCCACATCATGAGTAGACACGCCCCTTACTGCTTATTGGCTACAAGTTTGTTTTGCTATTCGGCCCGAATCAGTTTTCTAAAGCGTTTTTGAAAAATCGCTTACCCCACCTTTAATGCTGTATAATGAGCAGTGGATGATGTAAAAGCCATATATGAGATACATAGGCTACATGAGGAAAAATGCATTGCTGGTCGGTGCCACCTAGCGTGCAGGCGTGAATTAGCAGAAGGCGATTAATCGTTTCGCGCTCGGTGTAAAAGCAAAGTTTGTCAGCGATTCGCCTCGCTTTTTCGCATCGCGCTCAGTGTGAAACGGCCGTAACTTTATTTTATATGTCAAGGAGATGAACGGCGGTGATGTGACTCACCTTGTACTTGCCGTCTGATCTCCTTGGTGAACTCCAGCCATGTCTAAAAGACAAATAAAGCTTTAACTAAAGGCCTGTTTACACTCTAAAGTCTGCCAATTTAAATGCCCAAGCTCTTTTGGGCAGATTCTGATTGGTTGTCAGTTTTTTTTTTTCATTTATAAGTTAAAAAATTGTTGTGAAAGTGATTTCAGTTATATAATTCCTCTGTGTAGTTGTTATTGTTACAACTGTGGTGTAGATTTATAATTCTATTCTTATAGAATTACAGTAGAATGATTAATAAACTTCATAATTATTGTTATAAAATGGTGTTTTATAGCAATAGTAAAGAATATAGTTTAAATAATTGTTTAAATAATTTAAAAAGAAAACAACCTTTATTTCTATTTTGACTAGAATTCCACTCCAAAACTAATCTAAACATGAAGAAAACATGCTGTCAAGAAAAAAAAACATGCCACCTACAGTTAATATTAAAAGAGTGAGTGAGTGCTAACAGATTGAGGCACCTTTATGGTTGTCGTCTCCCATATGGCCAGACCGTAATAGTCCTTCTCTAACAGGTTCAGGTGGTCACACACTTTTGCAAACAGCTCCTGGCCTTTGGCATGCTTCTGGAAACAAAGAAATGTAGTTAAAACACAGAAGACCCTGTTTGGAACAGTACTATTTAAGTATTTTAGTCAGACAACAACTGTAATCCTTATATAGCAACTTGTTAGCGACAAGCATTAAAGCATACAGTGACTTTTAGACTTACGAGATACAACTGTGTGATTTATTTTGTAGAACAAAAAATGAGACTCAAAGAAATTTCTGAGAGAACCCATGGGTTGAAATTCTCTTCAAAGTTTTAGGTCTATGAATTGAGAAGCTCTATTAGCAAGTGAAGTTATGTACAGTGTAGCATGCTACTATAATATTTTTTTTGTTGTTCCTTCAGTGTATACAGTATGGAAACCCATGAGATAAATTAGATTAGATTAGATAGATTATGAGATAAAAAGTCAAAATGACAAAAAGTAAAACTAACAAAAACAGTTGATATGAAAAATAGTTGAAAAGGTGACAAAGGTCATAATTATGTCAGAATCAAATCAAACTTATAAGAAAAATAGTCGTAGTTATGACAGTAAATCGAAATTATGAAAAAATTATGACAATTTTACTTTTTTATCCCATAATTTCAAGTATTTATCTCATAATCATGATGTATGAGTATGGAATAAAAAGTGAAAATTATGAGATTCTAAGTCATAATAGAGAGGCAAGCCATAATTCATAAGTCATAATTATGACATAAAAAGTTATTAAATTATTACGCAAGTTGCAATTATCAGTCAAGTCATAATCATGACAGTAAGCCAGAATTATGAGATAAAAAGTAAAAATGACAAAAAGTAAAAACTATAACAGCCAATTGACATAAAAAGTTTAAATGATGACATAAAAAGTCATAATTATTCTAGTAAATTGAATTTATAAGATAAAAAGTCATAGTTATGACAAAAAGTGAAAATTATGATATACAACTATGTCAGTACAACAATGTCAATATGACAACATTTTTTACTTTAATAATTTCGACTATTTATCTCATAATCATGACTCATGATCATGACATAAAAGAGTGAAAATTATTATATACTATGTCATAACAATGTTTTTTTTTCTTATGTGGCACAAATGTGCTTCCATAATAGAATGCATATTGTGCACAGTAAGCAAATTTTCTGTATGCATGGAATACCCAGATTCTATAGTACACAGGTGGTCAATAAGAATAAAGTGCAGATATGCTGTTCTAAATGGACGTCGGGAACTGGATATTGTTAGACCGCCAGCTCCCGTTCAAATTACACCAGAGTTACCGACCGCTACCGCGTTTTATTCGGGAATTTAATCCCGCGGCGCAAAAAATCTGGTCGGGAGAGCTGCGGGAATGTAGACCTCTAGCTCCTTTCTCTCCCACTCCAACAGCGCTTGGATTAAATGAAAGTATAGTCAAATTTTTTAATTAGCATGTTTTTGTGTTTTGCTTTGGTACCGAAATTGGTACCGAGAACCATGGATTTTCACTGGTATTGGTACCGAATACTGAAATTTTGGTACCGTGACAACACTACAACAGAGCACATTGTGCTGGGTACTGTATCCCACAATGCAATGTGTATGACTTCACTTTCCAGGGTGAATGAACCAGAAGTTATTAGGGACATGATGTTTTTGATTAATTACTATTGTGGGACTGCCAAGGATTAAGACATTTTTACAAGATGATAACTAGTTCACATGCAAAGTAGCGAGGTCATGTGACAACAAAGTAGCACACTGCTGTTTGAAACGTGGAATTATGCAGACGGTTTCACCTACTATTTTTGAAGTATACAGTTCATGTTCTATAAAAAATAGTTGCCTTATATTCCATTCTGAACATAGAGACTCTTGTGTGGAAATAGAATTGTTAGCTTAGCTCGCTACATGCTAACAGCAGAATTAGCTGTGAATGTAAAGCGAGACTTGCGGGTCAAGTTGCTGCTAATAAGGATGTTCTGTTTCACTTAGGATGCTGTCTCTGTAGATAGCAGACATCGAGTCTGCTCAGTCGGTTTTAGACAAGAGCCACACAGTACGATGGCAACAAAAACAGGCCAAAGTGTCAGATCAGCAGAAATAGTCTCTCAGTAGTCTGAGAGTTAATTAGCAAAGGAAGTAAAAGCCCTTGAGCAACGCTTGAGTTTCAGAGTCGCTCTCGCGGGACTAGACAACGATACGGCGCACTTGATAAGCAACAAAAGAGGTGTGTGTGTGTGTGTGTGTGTGTCTCTTACTTCCAGCTCACACTCGAACAGAGTATCATCCAGCAGCTTGACTTTGCAGTGCAGTATCCTGGGGCGGCGAGATGCTTTCTGCTTCTTCCCCTCCTCCTCCTCCTCCTCCTCCACCACATTCTCCTCCTGTTTCTCTTCCTCTTTTTCTCCTTCCTCCTTTACCTCTGTTTCTGCCGCACCTGCGTCTTCCGGCTTGGCCTCTTCCTCTACTATTTCTTTTTCCTTCTCACACTCCTTGTCTTTCTCTCCCTCCTCTCCTTTGGCCTTGTCCTCATTTTTCTTCTCTTTTTTCTCCTTCTTCTCTTTCTTCTTTGCTTTCTCTTTTTTCTCTGGCTTCTCCTTCTGCTTGTCTGCTTTCTCCTTCTTCACCTTTTCCTTCTTCTCCTTCTTTTCCTTCTTCTCCTTCTTTTCCTTCTTCTCCCCCTTCTCCCCCTTTTCTGCCTTGCCGGACTCCAGCTTGGCGTCTTCCTTCTGATCTGCTACGATTTGCTGGAGGAAGAAAAATATGTTAAAAATCCAAAATTTAGATTATTACACAATTAATTCGCTGGAGGAAGACTAATTTGTACCTTTTTAGAACCAAGGTTTCTTACAGAATGATTATTTTAGAGTTTTTGAAAGTAGGCCAACTTGATTGCCAATAACCAATAATTTCGTATGTGTAAAACATAAACTAAAAGCCGTTTTTTTTTTGCAGTCACTGATGATACTAGCAATGATTATAAAAAAATTTCACAAATGGTATCATCATGGTCTAAGCAGACCACCTCGTTCCTCAAGCTGCTACAAAGTAAAGCAAAACATCAACTCAACACCCTGTTCCTTATGCATCATTTCTGTTTACCACCATACTGTATTCATTTTTTTCCCTGAGCTTGTCACAGTGTATTCTGGGATTGCCAAGTAATCCCGCCCACTCTAAAGCGGTACTAAACTGCAGTGGAAACGCAAACCGAGCCAAACCGAGCCGTGCCATGCCGTACTGAGCCGTACCGAGCCGAGTCGTACCACGCAGTAGGAAAAGTGCCATTAGAACACAGCATACTTATACACTGTAAATTTCGGAAGATCCTTCAAACTAGTCTAATGAGAGTTCATAATTTGTACAGGATGGTGAAATGACAAAAAGAACCTCTAAAAATGTAACACTTTCATGCATATAGAATATGAAAATACCCATAGCAGATCTATACAGCTGGTGCTGGGGGAGGTGGAGGGTTTCTGAATCAAACTATTTAAATGTTAAGCAGCCTTAATTTTTTAAGTTGAATTAAATTGAATTTGTTTTTACAGTGGGCCCAATGCATAAATGTTCATTCATATTACTTACTTCAAAAAAAACCTTCCTAAAGTTTGCACGAAATTAAAATTCACGCTATTTTATAAAATCCATGTTATGGATCTTTTCATGAACAATAAATTTAGGCACTTAATTTTTTGTTTAATTTTTAATCAAAATGACATAATCGATAGATTTCTCTCTGGTGACGTATGCAGGACTTCTCTGATCATTTACTCCACTTAAACCCACCCCTGCAAGCTCATGTTCATCTGTGTAATAACTTTGATTACTTAATTTTAAGGATTCCTCTTTCATTTGTGTGATGTTCGCAATGCCTTACATCTGCCTCCACTTTTGAGTGCAACGTCCACATCTCACAACGCAATTAACAACCAATGCATATAGAATCAAGTCCCCGCCCTACATTTGTTCTTTTTTGGTACACGTTTGTACATCGCAATATTCTAGAAAAGATCCGTTGCTACTTCTGTTTTATTGCAACCTTTTTTCTTTTTTTTTTCAAGGGGTCATCAGATGCCCATTTTCCACAAGTTGATATGATTCTTTAGGGTCTTAATGAAAAGTCTATAACATACTTTGGTTAAAATTTCTCAATGGTAGTGTAAAACAACACCCTTTTTAACCTGTCAAAAAACAGCTCTGTTCACAGCAAGCCGTTATGGTGCATTTCCCTTTAAATGCCCCTCTCTTCTGTGGGGTGATGCGCTGTTCTCTGAGAGACTGTAAACTTTAGACGCATTGATCGTGAAACTTGCTAACTAGCACATTATTGGTGATTTGCAAAATTAATTAAAAAAAATATACTCACTTCTTCTGTAGGTGAAGCTGGATCACGAATGATTCACGTGAACATAGACACATTTAGGTACTTAGATCGGAGGATGTATTCCCTTCAAAAACAAAGCTAATCCTCTGCGTCTTCAGCGGCTCAGATGTCGGGAGTAAATGACGACTGCTATGTTCATTATTACATCCAACAACAGAACACCTCAATCGCTATGGAGTTATTCTTGTCTACATCTGCTCCGGCGGTGAAACAATGGCGGACTGATGACAGCTCACTCAGGGCGGGTCTAAGGTAAAACGCTAGTGTCAATCAACAATCGTGGGAGGGGCCTTGGCCTGTGTGACATCACACAGCCATGAATCTGAGAACTGCTTGATTTTAGAAAGGGGTCATGATTTATCAAGATTTAAAAAAAAAAAAAAACACTGGGGGGATTTTTATCATTATAGGGTGGTTGTGTACACACACTGCCAACACACAATTCAGTTCAAACTAAATGTAAAAGTCAATTTTGCATCCGATGACCCCTTTAACATTTGCAAAAATAGTTGGATATAAACTGAGCATGTGACACCTTAAAGGGATAGTTCACCGAAAAATGACATTTCTGTCATCATTTACTCACCCTCAAGGTGTAGCCATTGACTTCTATAGTATAGGAAAAAAAATACTATTGACCACCAGAAACTGTTTACAAACATTTGTATTCTTTTGTGTTCAACAGAAAATGGAATTCATACAGGTTTGGAACAACATGAGGCTGAGTAAATTATGACAGAATTTTCATTTTTGGATGCTCTATCCCTTCAAAATGCTTCATATTCAAGAGAAAAGAGAGCAGAATAAATAATGAAAAGCTAGCATAAGGGGAAAAAAAGCTGAAGCATTTTGACAGCAGTTAGCAATGCCTAAAATACCAGCCGTTCAGTATGAACAGCCTCTCAGAAAGCTTTTAGTGTACTGTGCTGCTGGAGCAGATGAGAGCTGCACAGAGAAGGTTTTAACACGCAATCTTTGACCGTAACTCAACGTGTGAATCTGAGATGTGTGAAGCCCCACAGTTCAGTTGCTTTTGCACAGACATCCCTTGTAACAAGCAAACAGTGAGAAACCCTGAGGTCAAAACTGTCAGTAAGCCCACACACCAGTGGGCTAAGGGTTGCTCTGACTTTTAAAAGTCTTAGAGATGCTTTACTGTTTTGCTTCAGAAGACTTAGAATTTACACTTTTGTCCAAAATGGTGATGCTTAATTAGCACTTCTCTAATGGCACATCGTTTCATTTAATGCAAACAAAATGGATAAACTACAACAGGCTAACATGTCAGCTGTGGTGATGGTAGGGCTGATTTAACAAAATAAATTTCTCAATTTTAATGGATCTTCATTTTGATAAACAGAGATCTTTCAGTCTATGCTATTTTCAGTTGAAAATAGCTGTCTTTACTGTTGTGATGAGTGAATATTGTCAAAAAATACCACACTAAATAGTGACTAAACATGACCCCCTTTTAATACGTTAACCAGGAGTCGCTCTCATTTATAATCACGGCATCGTCTGATAAAATCAACATGCATCTACACTAAGGTCAGTGTGGATATTGTGGATGAGTTCTTCTGTGTCATCACGTTCTTTTAGTTCTACAGCTTCAGTTTCGGAACTTTCATGCTTAGTAACACATACAGCTGTTCCCTCACTACAGTGCAACAGTGAAAAGGGACCCCTTTCAAACAGTGTCGCGTTCCGAACGTTGTTTAAGCGACATACACCGGTATTGCGGTATTTTAAAAATTCATATCATAACAAAAATAAACACCGGTATTCGGTATGAACCGGTATACCGCCCAGCACTAAACACCACTAAACATTATTTGATATGAATGAACATTAGAAGGTATTGTGACTTATGTAATCACTCAATCAGTGCTGCAACTGCAAAATGTCAATAAAACAGCTTGAAAACAACACTTAACATTACATTCACCTCAGGAATGCATTGGATTTCCACAAAATCATTAGTCAGCTGGAAAAAAATATCTTTAGAGAGGAGCATTTTGCTAAATATATGCACAATAGACCAATTCAATGCAGTGATGTCATTGACCCATGAACATTTCCTGCTTGTTGTCAAACTTCTTCAAAACGGTAACAGGAGGCGATTAAGTAACACCTTAAAACGGCTGTCATAACATGTTTTTATCAAAATGTTTCCAATATTTTTTTGGATGCTCAGAAGTTATGTTAATTAAAACTGGGAATGCGTTAGGACTGTTGTGTTAGATAGTTATTGTTTATATCCCTCAAAATGGTCTATATTACATTTAGATTACATTTTTTACCGCCGTCTTTAAGTTTTTATGACAGCCACCATTTAAATGCTTATATTTCGACAACAAATTAGAGTAGAAACATTATCATTAAAAAAGTTAATAGAAAAAAATAATAGAAAAAATGCCTTATGTGCAACTCAGATTTGAGTGTTGATTTTTAAATAAATATGATTAATTACATGATTATGAAATCATTTTTGGTTTTAATTTTCAGCTAAATGAAAACTTTAATTTTAGTTCCAGTAAAAAATTAATTTCAGTGCATCACTACTTTTATGGTGCTTTTTGTCCTTTTCATATATTTTACATCACTGAATTTCTGTCAGAGTTGAATCTTAAATCTGGCTCTAGTTTTAGTACCATTAATCTGTTCCTCTTTCTCACCTGGTTTTCAGCACTGCTGATTGAGTTCTGGTCTAGAGCAACATCGCCCTCTATGCGCAGTTCTGGCTCGGGGTCCGCTATGGGAGCTTTGGGCTCTTCCTGGGCGTCCTTGTCCCGGGCCCTCTCCGTCTCCACCCCCTCGCCGTCCGAGCACTGCGAGCGGCGCTTCAGGAAGGAGGAGAAGAGGCGGGAGAGGCCGCGGCCAGCGGAGGTGCGCTGGCGTGGCTTCAGCTCCTGTTCCTCCTCCGAGCCCCCGGGGGGCGGCGAGGTGCCGGAGGGGCTGTCCTGAACGGTGTCAGCGGGGCCTGGCTCCTGTGCAGCGGGGTCCTCCTCTTCCTGCTGCTGCTCGCACACCTGTTTCTTATGAACGCTCTCCGCCTCGTCTGTGGTCATGGCAGTCGCTGCAGGAAGAGACGATTCGGTTAAAGTCATGTATCTATTTTACAGCACTGTTGAAAGTAGTATTATAAAAGTGTCCGGATGGTATACTATTTCCAGTGGATTTTCAAAGTATGTCTCTGTTAATACGCACTTGAAAATGTGCACATGCAATAGGAAGTAAGTGCGTAAGACTGTCTCAGGTCAGGTCACAAAAAAACAAAGCTCAGTGCCCTTAACCCACACTAAATCCACACTATCTCTAAGATCACTTCGTTTTTGAGGTTAAGTGCATCCCATCATTCATCAGATTAAAAAACTCATGTGGCCACAAGTCACGAGAATTCAAGGAAAACTTTCAGATAGTAGATAAGTGGATATTTGGTAGCAAATCATGAGAATTTGAGGAAAACTATACTAACTATTAGGGGTGTGTGATATATATCATCTGCAATAATATCATAATTGTTGTTTTAACAATATATGATTTGACATTATCGAGTATATCGAAAAAAACAAAAAACAAATAAAACATTATTAAAATCTAGTAGGTTAGACTAGTGTGCGTGTGCATTTAGAGTGTGTTCTTTCACTGCATGATTCAGTCTAATAAAATGCATTTAAAATGATTTCAAAATTCAAGATATGGAAGCAGAAAATGTATATATTTATATAATTTCATATAGTTAATCAATATCACACACAGAGTGCCATTTTTCTCTCCAAAAATCAGCATGATTACAAATGTGAAATTGATTTTATACAACAGATCAATAAACAAAAAGTTCATATTAAGGGACTTATGTTTCAGACACCATATCGCCTATTTTTGCTCTATTTCGCCAACAAAAATTCCAAACACTGCCACAGCACTGTTTTGCGTCTCTGACCAACAAGACGGCATTTCGTTCTTGAATGAATCAACCGTTTAAATGATTTGGTTCAATCGCAATGACTCACTTATTAACAGTGACTTGCTGCCACCTACTGGCGGTTTTAATTTCACATTTAAAATATCTTTTCATTTTTTAAATAATTTCAAATATCAATATTCAACTTTTCATGTTTAAAATATCAAAACCTTATTTATGCATTTGTAACTGCAGGTTAAATGCATTCATGTCCTGCATTAAACAGTGTGTAAATACATCTAAATGCCAATTCAGATGCAGCTTCTGTGTTTCCTCTGCAATGCAAAGATTAATTTTGTTGATACTGATTTCATTTGCTTGGTAACAGCCCAAATGTCTTATTATTCTAATTGACTGATTAAATGTAAGAATTTGACTCAAAAGATGAAGCACACTTTTATAAAAATGGCTTTATAAAGGTAAAAATGCCCATAAAAGGTACAAATCAATTTAAACTTATTGAAAAAGATTAATTTCCATCACTGCTGTGAACCGACCACCACACAGAATATGAAGAATATAAAAAACTTGGAGTCAGCTGTCCACAGTAGTCCTTAAGATGCCAGCACAATAACACACTCAGCAAAATTAGTCTAATTATCGGTATCGATAAAATCCCAGAAAATATCGAGATATCTTTTTTTTTTTTTTTTTAGTCAATATCGCACACCCCTACTAACCAGAGTTGGATATAACGCGTTACACGCACACGTTGGTTTCCTACGGATTATTGTATCAGAGAATATTTGTTTTCGATGACGATTTAAAAATAGACACTTCAAGCTTTCTTTAGATCTTTAGAGAAGCTTTCGGAGACTGAGAATGCAGAAAGCTCACCCGGATCAGCTCTATGTATGACGAAGCAGATATCGTCCTCTTTTGGAAGGCCAAACAAAGTAGTTTAGCTTTCACAACGAAACACACGGCGTCACACACGGTGGGCTTGAGTGAGCGGAGACCTGCGGCTATATGTGGGGGCGTGTTAGAACGAGCCGTTTTAGGTAGGCGTGGTTAACTCTTAACTTTTATAAAGAATATCTCTTTGGATTTGAGACTTTAGTCTTTGCAACTTTACAGATCTTCTTTATTCACCAAGAGCTTGTAACACTTCAAAGAGAAAGGAAAAATTTAAATCGCATCATATGACCCCTATAAATTAATTTCTATATTATACATAATTTGGGTAGTAAAACATGAGAATTTGAGTAAAAACTATCCAGTGTAAGTTAAATTAAGTAGTTATTACATATAATAAATTTGGTAGTAAAACAAAAATTCTAAGAAAATTTTACAGTTTAAGTTTAATTAGTTATATAATTTGGTAATAAAATGTAAAGTGTTGCACATTGTGGTGTAGAGATGAGTATGTGTACAACTGAATATGTGTATTTTGTAAAACACTAGCACCTGTTTTATATCGCTTAATTAGAAGCATCACAATGACTAAACTCCCTCATCTGTTACATAAGGACTTCTTATTTTTTTATTTTAAAGTGCATAGTTAAAAATCAAAATGTGTAAATAAAAGCTACTTGCATTTTTACAACACTATGCTGTAAGTGTGTATCATCGGCTAATCGGCTAGCAGTTCTATACACACACACACACGATCTTCATGAAAACTTGAACACTTGGGGCAAATAAAGGAAATATGTCATGTACTGTAAATAGACAAGTGATCAAATACAATGACCACAAGTGTGGGCATTTTTACGGGCCCTGTGTGTTCATCCACACTTCTTAAGTCAATATTGCTCAAAATCTTTTGCACATGTGACTTTTTTAATGCCAAGGAATGTGCGAACAAATCAAGCAAGACAATAATGTTACATTTTCGGCGAATGCGTTGTAAACCATTCTAAGACCCTGCACTTCTGCCTCTTCAGGACATGGCGCCCCTGGCCATGAGCCAATTGCCCATATGGTTACTCAGACCCTGTGCTTGGTTCATGACAGTTCATCAGAGACGTATTGATGTCCGATTAATTAGCGTCTCAGTTAATAATTTCCGTTTTGGACTGTTCTGTTCAACCCACAAAGCTGTCAGTTAACTACAGATGTAAAATAGTGTATAGTCTTCTATTATAATTCTTTATGGTGCTGTGTGTCTTTTTGAAGCCTAAAAGCTTATTGCAATTGCATTTCTTCAGAATATCATGTTTTATGTTGCACGGAAGAAAGAAAGTGCCTAAAGTGAATGGATTTTTTTTCAATCACTCCTGCAATCTAGGTGTAAGAGAAAGACTGTGTTGAGAGGACCCGACACAAATATGAGTTCAGCAAAGACAAACTGAGCACTGCCACACAACGACAGCCCTCTGTGCATCTCCACTGAACCCTGAACAGTGTTAACAACACAAAAACAACTGAATGAACCTCACACACGCTCTCTCTTACACACAAGCAGCAAACATGTGATAAAATAAATCTTATCTGCCTTTTAATAATGCAACAGTCTATCTTGAAATAATCAGTCAAGCCATATCCAATTATGACAAGATCATACTTTCAGTGTTAAATCTAATTACACAGAGATCACACACAAACCACTTCAGTAAAGGTGTTTGTGAGCCAGCCTACCCTAAGGCTGATGACATCACAGCAGATTTACACACTAAAGCATTATGGGTAGGTGGTCTTTAAAGTACCTGATTCAGCTTGAACTGCGTTGCCCAGGCAACAGTGGATTGCCTGAGGTCAGCTGTGTCAGCGTGCACTCACACAAGCAGCGACGAGGCTTGAGCTCACCAGTAATGAACTTAGTCTTCAATCTGATTACAACTCTTTACTAAATAATGCAATCAATACATCACAATATTTGCTTATGATTCAATAACAGTTCTGAAAATGACTAGTTCTTTTTGTATTAATGTATGCAGTACTTTAAACATCTTTTAATTTAGCATAGGGGTGTCGCGTTATTGACAATAACCGTGATATTCAAATCATGAAATATCGACATCGTGTTAATTTAGGGTATGACGATATACCGGTATTGGCGATAACCACATTATTTAAAATGAACAGGACACTTTTGATAACACGACACGCCTACTCCAGCGCCAGTACCTGGTTGACCTCCCAGGTGGCAGTATTGCGCCTTAACGCTGACACCTGTCAATCAAGAAGAAGATGCAGTGAGCGGCCGCGCTACTCCGAGAAGAACCATGTTCAAACAGTAAGTTGCCATTATTTTACTAGTCATGGAATGGGAAACGTTACATTAACCTGTTAACAGCGGTTTCCTGTGTTCATATATTTAAATAAAGGGGTGATTCTTTTAATAAGTACCGCGTTTTCTTTACTCGTCTAATTTTTTTATTTGTATTTGCAATCAAGTCATGGCCAAAACATGTACGTAGCACTTGATTTCTTTGTTCAAATCTATTACACGATTAAAATAAATCTAGAAAACTGAGTGACCACATTGCTACATTTAAACTCTGTAAAATGTTAAGTTGGTCGCAGTGCCATGCACATAATGCCTCATCTGCAGCCGTTCTAGACGCACATTAATACTGAATTAGAAGCGTGTTAACTGCATGACTTCATTGGCGCCGGCACTACTATATGTTAAAGAGATTCAAATACGGGTACACAAGTTAACAGGTTAAAGTATCAGTTTTGATGTTATAATTTATTCATCATACTGTTGAACTTGAGAGTATTTTCTCTTTTGTTATTTCATAGGGAGCTTCAAAGAAGACAGAGAAAGCCAGAGTCTCAGGTCAGATGTGGCCTGAAGAAGAAGTGAAAATGCATGTGCCCTGTGTTTATCAATATCTTTATGTTCATTGGGTAAAAAGAAAAACTAAATAAACAAAGTAAAAATTGATTCCCCAAGTTTTCTATAGACATTGCGATATATCGATATTGTGAATTCTTTTGGCCACAATAACCGTGGTGTGAAAAATCTAATATCGTGACAGCCCTAATTTATCAGCATGGCTGCTCTTCCATATATGTGACCCTGGAGCACAAAACCAGTCATAAGTAGCCCGGGTATATTTGCAGCAATAGTCAACGATACTGTCACGGTTGAGTTCTGAGGCAAACGAAGGAACGAGGAGACGAGGATAAACTTAACATAAACAGTCTTTTAATAATCAAAA